TCCGCTCTGCCAACTGTCAGCTTGCCTTCCCCTCCCTGCCACTGGAAAGGCAGGTAAGACACAGGTGTACATGATACGGGGTTTACTTCGCCTTAAATGGACACGGTGTTTTTAAAAACCCTTTGTTCCTTTTAGGGCCCCTGTTCAGTCTACACATCCCATTAGTAGTAATCCAGGGATGTCAAACATATATCCAGCTGACCAGATGTAACATTTGGAGCCACTCTATCTATTCGACAAGCTGTTGGCAGGCCACTGGAAATTGGGGGGAGGGAGGGCATGGAAAAGAGGGAGTGGCCTGCCACAGAATCTGAGGCCCTTAGGCCCTGGTGGTCATGGCAAGCAGCAGCAGGAGGGTGAATGAGTACAGATACAACACTACTCACACTCTGCCTGCTTTGCGCATTGTTATTGCTGCAGTCCCATGTCCTCAGCCAGTGGCTCTGCTGCCACCCCAGGCTGGAGCCACTCATGTCAGAGCCAGAGCCGTGACATGCATCAGCAGTGGCAGCTCTCGCTTGAGTATGGGCCACGTGGTGGCGGCAGCAGCTGCCACCCTGGTATGGGGCCCATGGTAGGAGCCAAAGCTGGAGCCACTGCTACCATCATGTGCCTTAGGCTGAAATCACCCTGTGCCCGAGCTAGATCCAACCCACAAGGAGCCCAGAGTCTGGATGTATACTTAGGCACAAAGTGATTTTGATATCCCAGGCTTAATCCATGGTAGGAGACTGTATGGGACATACTTACACTGCTAAATGGAAAAAATGTATCTGGCACTGGATGCAGGAGTGCCAGTCATTTTACTAAATAGTTATTTGATAAAATACATAAATAACACTGGGAACAGGAAGCAGAACCCAGGACTAAGTGTCTTGCAGAACCATGCCTTCCTCCCTGGGTTCAGGCTGTATTTGGAATGCTGTCACTCTGGCCCTAATAACTCTTGCATTCCTTTTTGCTCAGTAGTCTAGTGTAACAGAGGCCCCTAACCCCTGTTACTGAGCGCAGAGAGGTAGGCTTCAGAGCAGTAAGCCTGCTAATTTGGTTTCCTGTGTTTGTGTTTAGCTGCAAGGCATGGGGGTGGCTTTAAGGGAGGTGGGAGGCCACTGGAGATGCAAAGCAGGAGGACATAGATTGCAGTATTAGACTGAGGATGACCAACCCTGTGTGGAGCCTGACTGCAGGACAGAGAAAGAGCCCAGTGGACTGAGTCTGAATACAGGGCAAGTAATCCCTAGAACAGTGGTTCTCAAGCTTTTTAGACTTGGAGCACTTCTAGATAGTCTGAGCACTCATTGGAAGATGCTAGCTCTAAATTTTCACTTTTTTTGCCTAGATAAAAATGATAGAGCAGTTTTTCTGTTGCAGAGAACTCAAAAAGACCACAACAATGGTCTGTTTGTGTTTGAAATCTCTATGTTTATCTTGTTTGTAAACCTAACTGGATCATGTTTGTAAATCTAACAGTGCTAACATTGTGCGGCACCCCATGACACACTTAACAGGTTCTCAAGGTATCCCAGGGTGCTGTGGCACCTTGGTTGAAAATCGCTGCCCTGGAGTAACGGATTGGGTCAGAATGAGGTGGCCTAATGTTGAGAAGGGCAGAATAAAGCACCAAAAATGTCTCACTAATGGTCTGAGGGCAGCCTCCCAAATTATATAAATACTGCATCAAGGCATAGTAGGCAAGGGCAGGACAGTACGCTGATAAGGTGGAGTACAGAACAGATTTAGGGTGGCTACTGGGGGTGTTGCAGCTGCCTTCAGAGGTGGTATCGTGTACACCCAGCTTCAGCAGGAGGTGTGGAGGATGCTGTCGGACATGGCTAGCCTGTAAGCCAGTAGTTGGGGAAGTTGCCTGAAAAACAGGAAATATGGATTCAAACACCCTCTGGTTGAGGAGGGCCTAGAACCCAGCCTTTCTCCTCCCTCAGCAAGCACCCTAAATACCAACCATTGTAATATAGGTGTAGTGAGCCTCCTGCTTGCTTCATCTTGGTTTCAGTTGTTCAGGACAGAAGTTGGCAATCAGGCGATTGTTGACCTTGGACCAGATTTGCTGTGTGTTCAATTTAAGGTGCCGTATAAACCAGCCATAAAAATGTTATGTGTTATATTTTTATGGCCAGTTTGCCATTTTATGACACCTTAAATTGAGTGCACTTTTGCCATCTATGCCATGATTAACACAGTGATTGCAGCATAAATGTAACATGTAGAGGGGAATTTAGATATTTTAGAGGCAGGATAGTATCTGGACTATCATCTGTTATTCTTCAAATTTGACAATTGCAAATGAGGAGTTATGATTTGAATATAGGGTTAAATAGGAGAAAAAGATGGGAACCTTACTGAAACATGGATCTGTGTTTGAGGAAAATAGCAAAGACGATTCAGTTCTATATAAACAGTGAATTAAGTTGTAAATTAGTGTTGCTTTAAATATATTTTATATTTAATATCCCCTTTGAACTTTATTATGTACACATTCTTCAGGTATAAATACTTCCATGGTATAATTCATTGTAACTAGGAGTCTTGAAATTTAAATTGTTATATGAATCGTTTTGATGCAGAAATTTGGTGTGACCAAATGTTTTGGAACTAGTGTATTTCGTGGTGTGGCATGTGGAATGAAAGGTCTTGACCTCGTTATTCATATTTCAGTTAGAGTAAATGTATTTGCTTCTCAAACTATGTGGATTTTTCCTGGTGTGCAGTGCATCAAAGTGCAAAAGGAATAGCCAAGTCCAGAAAAGCCCCTTTGTCCTCTCTGCTGTCTAGTTTGCATATATATAGAGCAAGGTAAAATTGTTTTCTAAAATTTAAATAATCCCATAATATAGACTGATATAATCAACAATATGGCTAACCAGTAGAGTATTGTGTACAGGCTTGTATTTTGAAAGCTGTTAAAAAAAACCCAAAATATGTTGCTACATTTGGTAAGAAATACCTGTTTTAATCATGGTGTAACAACTTCCCATTATAAGTGCTATACTTAATACAAGCTGCCTTTTGGCCTTGTAAAATTATTACAGTCTGACTGATACCATTTTAAGCTTATCAAAATGTCTGATCTAAAATAGCAGAGCTCATTATAAAATGGCAGCACCCCATTTTATGCTCTGTCCACAAGAAAACCCTAAAGCAGAAAACATTCATGCAGAGTCCAGTGAGAATGCCTGCATGCCATGTGCTTTTGTGGAACCAAGACCTAAGATTTAAACCAAACTTAGGAATGTGCTTAGTTGAAATAAAGTACATCCTCAGTTATCTGAACCCTCAATTTTGTTTTGCAAACTTGTAACTGTTGGTATCATATAACAAACTTCTTTTTTTAAGTTTATTTAAATGCAGTACTGCATCTCTGCTCTCAAGATTGATACAGTAACTTGTAACTGTTGATGCTGTATAACAAGGGGTTCTAATGTATTTAATATCTGTTTAATAATTAATATCTGGCAGCTGGTTGTGAGATGGTTGTCAAGCCTTTATCCTGGTTACAGAACACAAATAACATCCTACTTGTTTTGCAAATAGAGAATCATGGCCCTCTTACTAAGAGAACCAGCAATTTTCCTTTTGTTTCTTATATTGTGCTATCCTGTGTATATTCCTGTGGCAGCACAGTCTTTCATCCTCTGGGAACATCAGAGTTTTGGCTTTCAAATAGGGAGAGCACTGACATTTAGGGACAGTGAATGCTGATTTTACTTGGTAGCTCTGTGCACGTGTGCCTAAGTATAGCACGTAAACAATAAAAGGTCACTGGTTACTTTTCTTTTAACTGTCTTTCTGAGCAGATTTCAAATGGCTTTACTTCTCATTTCAAGATTGAGAAATGATGCATTTTTTTAACCAGTTTTGCTTTTGTGGCAATCGTGTCAGCTGTTTTAGCTGGTTCCCATCATTTGAATTGAAGGATCAAAGCTTTTTCATCTTTTGGGACAAGTATTAATACAAGGAATTGAAATATTCTTAGAATAGATCTCTGTTGCACTAGAAATTAAGTCGTGCATTTATTTAAATGAAACAAAGTGGGAAGATTTGGTACCAACTCAGTTAACTTTGAGTAATCCAATTATGTTGCTAGAGCCTTTAAACTGAGAAATAATACTCAGTAAAATTAATAAATTCCAGGGTTTTCCAGTTATTTGTGATGTATAGAACCTGATTTATTATATACTGTACACCTTTTCCAGAACCCTTATAAACAAATTAAAAATTCTATTTACATAAAGTATTACGTTTTTGGAGATGAGGGTCATTCACTAAAGTAAGGCATGTCATCAGTGCTGTCTTTTTTTTTAGTGTAATTTCTATAACTGGAAAACGTGGGTTGTGTTTAGCATGTTATTAACATAAAACTGTTATTTCTGTAGGACAGAACTGTAAGTGTAATAAAGAAGACTGGCACTTTCATTAAGTTTCACTTTAACAGAATTTTTCTCAGAATTCATTTTATCTCAGTGTTTCTGTTTTACATGATGCAAACTGCAACATTCTCAACTTTCTCCATATCAATATTTCTTGGTCTTATGAAGCTTGTAGTACAATTTATTACTCTATCAAAGCAGTTAATTTCAGCCTATTGTAAATTAAACTTTTATGCAAGTTCTTATTTGAGTAGTTTTGAACTGTGTTTCTTTTATTAATCGTCTTTATTTTTCATTGAATTAGATGGTGAAAAGAAGATTCAAGTAATGATTCATGGAATTGAGCCAATGCTGGAGACACCAATACAGTGGCTAAGTGAACATATGAGTTATCCTGATAATTTTCTTCACATTAGTATCATTCCCCGACCTACAGATTGAAGGATCATCTATCAGATGCAAGGAATTATCCTCAAGATGGATTTATCAGGGCATGTCAGCCTTTTACTTCTGTTGGGGTTGGTGGAGGCAACCTGACCAGAAAAAAAAAATTCACTGCTGCAAGCCAAACAGGAAAAAAGATCTCATCACCAGATAAGGGCAATTGGGCTGGTCTTACTTTGCTTCACCACTGCTTTTCTCCACTGTCGTCATTTAAACCTCAGTTGCGATATGAAAGACTTTACAGGACCACTGTAAGCTTGCTCTTTTCTTGTAAAATGTAATGAAGTTGAAACTGTCAGCCTGAAGAGCAAATGGAAATATGTGCCACTTGATTTGTATTTCTGATGAACAAATAAACATGGGTATTTCCTAAAGTACTAGTGGTTCAACTTTGATGAGAGTGGAAATGTTGGTTTAATTTTCTAGAAAATGAGACATTAGGAGAGATTCAGTTATCAATAACTTGTAGTAACTTTTTGTAAAAGATCAAATTACAGTAGACCCATTTTCCTTAATGAGAATTTCATATGTTTACAGTATGTCTATTCGTATGCATATGGTCTTTTAACTTTGATAGCAAGCAGTGAGATTTTTTAAAATAAAACCTATGAGCATGTTTTATTTAAGATCATACAAACCAAGTCACAAATATTAGGATTTATAAGCAGTTGGTCACTAAAAATGTCCTAGTATATATTAGAGCATATTAAACTATGCCCTAATCCCTCAAACCATTTTTCATTAAAATGGTAATGTCATAGGGTAATTTTGTCTCGGGATCTGTGGTGTCATTTCTCTTTGCCAATTTAACTTTTTTTCTGTGAGAATATTTTCTTTAATCAGTAAAGAAAAATGTAAAAGGATGTTACAGATTATCATACCATTCTATTTATTCCCATAGGCTAGAAGGCAGTTAAGTCATAATATGATAAACAGATGTATTGTTTTTAATAATTTTGAATATTGGAAGCTGAGCCTTTTCTAAGCTAGTTCTTCATTATATCTGAATTTATTTTCTTACTGTGGCAATCAGCCTGTGAATTTTAGAAGCCTAAATCTCATCGAAATAGATTTCCCTTAACTTACAAATATATTTTTCACGATTTGACTTTAATGTTTTTTGAACTTCATCATTGCAGCTGCTACTGGGACCCTACCAGCTTTCCAGGTTACGGTACATTCATCCAATTGTGCTGCATTGCTTTGTTTGACAGTCTCGATTGTTGTGGCACAAGAGTGTGTTATAAATATACTATCAACTAAATGTTTTCCTGAAGAAATGCAACCTCACCAAAAGAGAAAATATTGGAAATTATTACTGAAGCTGTGGCTCACTAATGGCCTAGTAAGTCGCAGTGCTGTTGCCTTTTTTCCTGCTGGCCTTCTTTGTAGGATCATTTACCTGTATATGGATGAAAAAACAAAGCAGACTCATGCACAAAGAAGCAACACTGAGACAGTGCAGAAATCGAAAGAAAGAAAAACCCTAAAAAGCTAATAAAAAATGACAGTGTGACTGAGATTGAACAGAAGCAAATAGGAATTGTTTTAAGGATATATAAAGGCAGAAATTACATTAAGGAGAGACAAGGGAAAAAGTAAAAGTGAAATAGATATGTTGTAAATATGAAGATTTGAAGGAATAAAAAAAACCTAGTAAAATAAATATTGATCCATTTTTATGCCGAATGGAAACACAGTGCATTCTGGATGGTTTGGTTAAAGGATTCTAATTTTCAGTTCCATTTGGATTTCTCCCTTTGGTATTTTGACTTTCAGACCGGCAGGACAAAATGTCTCAATATTCTGGAGAAATTCAGTCTTGCCAATATTTTGTAGACCATTAAATAAGAAGACTGGTATACTTTTTCCATTAATGAGGCAAAATAAAGTACTAAAAGAGACAGCTCACTAAGTAAGCTACAAAAACTGTTATCTTTGTTGTAATGTGGCTTGTATTAAGCCATTTTCTATCTTAGCATACTCTATTTATATTACACCAGCATTTTAAGCATAAGCCTCTTCTCGAGACCCTCATCCACTAATAAGTCCAACCTCTAAAGCCTGGCATGGAATGGAAACAAAATATAATACTTGGCTCTACTATATACTGGTTATTTTAATTTTAACTATTTAAACTTTATTGTTTATTAAAAAAGTAAAATAAAGTTTGAGTCTGTCTTTATTTTTAAGTGGAAAAATAGATGCACTGTCAGTAACAAAGCTGTGTGAAGCAGTGACAACAGGAATAACCATTTACAAATCAATTAAATGAGAGTCAATGAATTTATTTATATAAGGAACTGGTAAGGTTACACTAAATGAGACTCAACATCCCAAGAATGGAATTAGGCATTTATTTTATATGAGCTTAATCACAGGGATATTTTTCTACTTTATAGTTTTATTTTCACTGCATTGTTGTATTATTTTTGTAAAACCTGATAGCAATAGAAAATGTATTGTGTTTTAATTTAAATATTTCTCTTTTAAACTTGGCCAAAATCAAAAGCAGCATTTGTTTTTTCACTCTGAAGAATGTGGTCTGTCTAATAAATTAATTTTAATGCTTTTGAAAAGGAGCAGATAAGCAAGATATCTCTGTAAATTTAAATTCTCAGTGTATCCAGTAAGGTACAGTTCAAAACTACATCGAACACTGCTTGCTGCATTCAGCATATGTCAGTCTTATTTGACAATCACTGCTGCCTCCTCTTTGCAAGGAAAAGAAAAGTTGATTTTCTGTGGCTATTTAATCATGTGTACCATTAATGAAACTTGCAGTCAGGGATCCCGTTTTGATATGAATTCCTGCCCTCTAAGTACTAAACACTGTCTCTCTCTTTTATTTTAATTAAAATATTAATTTTAATATTAAAGACATTGGCACAAAAAGTAGAAATGTGCTAATGACATTTCCAACACAAAGGAAGTATCATCCATAAAGAGGAGGCTGGCACATCATAAAGTAAGACAACTGGGCAATCTTTTAAGTAATAGAAATTGAGTGAAATTCAATAATACAGAGTGCAAGACCCTTAGAGTCTGATAAGAATTTCCACTATAAACAAATTTTATCAGTAGGAAATGATAGAGAAGAGAGGTTTAGATATATTTGTCAATCACAGAATGATTATGAACCAGCACTGTGATTATGGCAAAGGAAATGCAGTCTTGAGATTCATCAGTGAAGGCATATTCCCAGCTCAGGGAAGGATTAATGCTGTTGTATTGAAGTACTGGTAAGACCTTATCTATAATACTGCAAAGGGTTGTAGTCATGCATGTTCAAGAAAAAATAAACAAACTGGCGCAGTTTCCACAAGTGGCTACTGTGATTAAGGGAACGGAGAGTCTATTCACAAGAAGAAAATAGAAGAGGTTTTCTTGCTCAGCCTTGCAGAACAAAGGTTGGTAGGGGAGTGTGATTATTTTTTACAAGTGTACCAGAAAGTAAAAGAGAGGGACATGGAGAACATCTTGCTGGGGTCATCTGACCCCAGCAGTCTTTCCTGCCCAAGTGCAAGTGGGCTGGACCCGATGCCCTGTAAGATCCCTTCCAACCCCTAATATCTATGAAACTATGAAAATATATGTTTAAGCTAAAGCACAGTGTTGGCCATTTTAGACATAATTATTCTTTTGCTAATTAATTTAAGACGGTACTCGGAGGAAGGCATCTAATTCTCAGACCACTGAGGTGCCAAGATCTTAATCATTTTTTTTGAAAGGGGTTATATCAGGGGTGGGCAAAGTCTGGCCCGTCGGCAGCATTCAGTCTGTAGTGGATTCAATTTACTAGCAACCCCTGTGACAGTGGCTCTTTCTGGCATCTGCAGCCAAACTAGGCCCTGTTCCTGGAGCACCCTGGCCCATCCACCCTGCACCTACCACATGGGCAGGGTACTGGCTTGGGCTGGGATGGGGCCATGGCTGGGAAAAAGGTGGGTGGCCAGGGCTAGGGAGACCCTGGGATCTTGGGGCGGTGACAGCGCAGGGCCAGGGCTGGGACAGAGCTGTGATCCACTGCCCACACACCCCTATGGTGAGCATGGCTTCTGTGGGCAGGGGAGTGCAGGGAGCAGATCATAGCTCTGCTGTGGCCCTGCACTGTCGCTGGCCCAAGATCCCAGCCCTGGAGCAGTTTTTCATCCAGCCATGCATCCTGCCCATGGGTTCCCAGCCAGTCTCCATGGAGAACCTGGGAGCGTGGGGCCATGACAGTGTGGGGGCGAGTCTGGGACAGAGCCCTGGTTCTGCAGCCATGTGCTGTCATGGCCCCATGCTCCTGGGGTCTGCATGCAGAGGTGTCCAGGAGCTGTATGGCCAGGGGTTCCTGGGAAATGGAGTCTGGCCACTGACGAGATCTGCCATTTTGGCCCTCCTGGATTCTGATGTGCTTGCCAATGACAGTAGGAGACAAGGCAGTATAGCCCAGGAGAGTATTTTATTCTGACTGCCACAAAACTATCAGATGGCAAGTACATAGTTTGTCATGGAGTTTTATACACAATATGCCAGTTCAGAGAGATCCTGCACTTCTATGCTGTCACCTCAAAAATCAGAACCTTCTCAATTTGGTTTTACGGCAATAACTTTGATTTTGAAGGCCTGAATATTTTTATGATTAGGAAAATAAAACTTGCGTATTTTGGTATGCAAGTGTGTTAATTGATTTGCAACCATAAGTTAATAGATGCCAGTTGGAGTTTTCATTTTAAAACAACTTCATTGCATAAAAATAACATTTGCTGTATAGGCCTGTGTATGAATAAAAATGCAGTGAAATAAGCTTGACAAAAAATGCTTTTTTATA